TTTCCTAACTTCCTTGCTGATAGAGGGTATCTTCCACAGGGTTAGCTTGATGGTGAAGTTTCTATCCCAGGCGAGTCTGAAATAACTAATTCTGACCACTGTAAGTGTGCGTTATTACAATTTCCAAGAATAACTGTAGAAGTAAGCGGGTGCGTAACCCGGCAGGCTTTGTTTATGGGTCAATAGTGTTGCGTGCTTGAACTGAAACCTGCAAACAGTTCAAAGTTGTTTCAACACAATCTTGGCAATGCAAGCAAAATGTCAACTGGTCCGAGCCCGTAACATATGCCGAGAGACTTAAAGAAATATCATGCAAAACATCACCATTGGATGTTGAATAAAAGCCACTTTTGTTCAAGCAAGGTTTCTTCATTTTCTGCAAGAGAAAGGGAACAAGACACTTGGCTCTAGAGTCCGTCAGTGAAAGGTAAGGTGGGATTGTTACTCTCAAAAATTTTAAGCGGATCAAATGCCGCACAAAATCGAAATGTCGCATACCACTGAATAATTATTGACTAATTTTTCGTACTAAAAAGATTTAAGTAAATGTTATTTCGCGCACACCAAAATCCCATTCGATCAACCTTGTTGGTGAAGCTGTTGGAAACAATTTGTGTAAATCGAATTATTTCCGGATCTAAACCAAGCATTGTTATTGAGCGAACGAAGTTCCATTTCGCATCCCTTTTATTGTATCCAAAACTCTGATACCCGGTAATAGAAGCAAAGAATTCACTCCATAGAATGCACTTTATTGAATCACACTTCATAATTTACAAGAATGACTGATAAAATTAGTTGGTGGACTGAGGCAGAGTAAGGAAGGAAAGAAGGAAAAGAAGGAGAGGAAGGAGAGAAAAGAAGAAATTTCCATTTTTAGGTAGTCAGAGAAGTAGACTGTAAATCACAACTAACCCCCCTAACATCAACACGTGCACAAGCTAGCGATTGTAAATATTTCCTTCCCTTCACTTCTCCTTATTTTCACAAGAGGTATTCGACGTTGTTGTTGTTGTTGTTATTGCTGTTGATGTTGTCCCTGCTGTTGTCATTGCGGTGGCAACAGTTGACGTGACAGGATGGCGCGAACTGACCAATCGTTGCCTAGCATTTGTGCCTGCTGCACTACTCAGACAGTCAAACCATCTGGTAGAGAAGACGAGGAAGAAGGAAACGGGGAGAGGAAAAGCAGCCAACTGAATTAGCTCACTTTTAAAACGAGTGAAATTAAATAAAAAAGAAGCATTGCTTAAATGACATATTCTCACCGTTCAAAAGACGTCTGACTGTCGTCGCGGAAGAAGTAGACGTGATTTTTAAATTGCAATTTAAAGACAAACTCTTTGCGAATATTGTCCTCCGGTGAGGGTGTGATAATACTGTAGCCTAGGAGGGGTAGACTAGCCAAGGGAAAGGTGTCCTGATAACTCTTGTGAAAGAAGAGGCATAGTTGCGTGAACACCACCCACAACTTTTGCCAACCATTGCTGTTCTTGAATTTGCGTAACAGATAGCCACTAGTTTGGTACTGGAGAGGAGAAAGGAGGGAGAATAAATTTCAAATATGAAAAAAGGGACGAGAAAAGAGGTAAAGGTAAGGAAAAACACTTACCTCATTGGCTCGTAGGATATCGGACATGGAGAAGGTGGAACTTCGATGCCAACAAACGTGGACGCTAGTTGTGGCTCTGTGAAGCACTTTACCAACACCCTGACTGGAAGACGCTAGACTAATGATTTCTAAAAGAT